GGGTTTGCTGCTACACTGCATTTGAGAAAGCCTGCTCACAAAGCCAGGTTTTGACTTTTTTACGAAATGTTAAGAGGGTAGGGGCCAATCTAATGTCCCTATGGAGGGCATTGCACAGCCAAGGGGCCACCACTGAGGAGGCCCTGTCTCTTGTTCCCACCAACCGAGCCAGTGAAGAAGGCGGGACCGAGAGCAGGGCCTCCCCAGAAGATCTTAAATTCTATGTAAGGATCAGGGAGCCTACATGCTCTTGACACCCACTTGTTTCTGCACAACACGGGGGAGGAGGGAGCAGAGGCTGGAAGAGGATCAGATCACTTATAGTCTTTCATGATCTTGCCATACCTCCTTCACTCCCACTGAACTCTTATGCAATATCAAGAGGCTGGAGGAAGTTGGATGAGGACTGAGGAGACCATAGCCTTCTCATCTGTATTTTGATAGCTCATTCATGACACTAAAGATATTGTTGACACGTGCTGGCTATTGGAATACAGGCTATGATGTTCCTCCTCACTAGATTGTCCACTTGTGGAAACAGGAAACAGGTGAGTCTGCAATGTGATAATAGGAGTACTCTTTGGGTGTAGATCAAGAAGTGAAGGGGAAAATGAAAAATTGCTTTGAAGATAATTCTCTTCATTAGCACTTTCAGATAATCAAAAAGCCCTTTCTCTTTCCACCATCCCTTTCCACCACATGAGGAAAGCAGCACCTGAATGTATAGAGCTGATGTATATTCCACATTTGTTCATTTTTAAAAATTATTTCAACCTCCATTCCATAAAAAGAATGGATAACAAAGGAAAACACAAACTTAAAAAAATCCCCAGAACACAATTTGAAGAGAGGCAATGCATCCTTTGTATTCTACATACAATAAGATCTCAATTTTTTACATTGCAGAAATAGCTTGCTGCACCGGAAACACACAAGTCCATGCTGTTCTACTGTAGAAATAATTGATTTAGTCACTTTATAGCCTTTTAGTTCCCATGAATTAAGAGTTACTAGCATTCTTCCCCTGTGTCTTACCAGCTTTGAGGATTTACAAGCTCCACTTGTTTCAGCAATACAGCTGGTAAGATTCTTGATCTGATGCTTATGCTGAAAGATTCCTGCAGCTTGGCAACTCTTTTCCCAGGTGAAATTACAGCCTCTGTTTCCAGTTAGTGCGTTTTCACAAAGCAATTTTACTGAGACATTTCACTCTATGTGAAGGAGATCCATGTTCTAAACAACAGCATTTTCACCTTGGAAAATTCTAGACTGTGGGTAAATTGGAAATATATCATAATAATTGGAAGTTACTATCTTGGTAAAGTTCTTTGAAAATTACAGATATGCATGCCACCAAAACTGGTTTTAATATTGCATCTTAAACCCAAATTTTAGAAGTAAATGCAACCTGCAAGTATAAAAAACACCCTTACTCATGGTTCTCATAAAAGTTTTCAAGTTCACTATGTAACAAAATTTGAAAACAATTCTGTTCCTGGTTTGAAAGTGTTATTTCATGTTTAATTGTCTGATGTTTACTTAAAAGTAGTTGTTATACTCAAGAAACCTTGTTTTTGTGGCTGACACAAACTATATTGAACTGGTTGAGACTTGATGAGATATTCATTGAAAAACTATAGCAAAATGTGCTGCAGGATGTCCCGCAAAAACAAGCAAAGAAGGAGTAGAAAGGGATCTTTGATGGCACATCCAACAAAGATACTTTTCCTTCTCAACATCCAACTTATGGGGTACAAAGTTGTAGAGGTATGTATCCAGCAACAGAAAAAGATGAACTTGGAAAGCTTAATAAAAATGGTATCATTAAATAAAAATGTGAAAGGCAACACTACTTCATTATTAGTATGAAATAAAGAACAGGGTGTGGAAATTAAAAAAAAACCTTGCACAGTAAAACAGCATCTCATCCAATGCTGAAGTCTTACAGAAACCTAAACTTCCCTATGAGTAATGCTAACAGCTTAGCTTTCCTAGTTTTGATCAATAATGTAATATGAGAAGCTCGTTATATATCTTCTCCCCCTCTCAATCTATTCAACATTGTTGATTTATCCATGGATTGAATTCAATCATTTATTTATATTAAGTTTCTATTGAGGGAAACACCAATACTCCATATGGATCTCTGTGCCAAGCCACAAATCTTTTTTTAATGTTCACCTTGAATTGCAAGCAATCTGGAAAACAAATTAATGACTTGAATACACATATTTCAGTTTTCAGGAAAGTCCTCCAGTGTAACCCTTTCAACAGACTATACCCAGTAAATCTGGAAATCTCTCAAGTACTATAAAATAAGACCATCTGTTTCTAATTAAATGACCTAAAAATAGAATTGTGTAGATAACTAACACATTTGTGTTATCGTAATTAAAATCCCACACAGTTATTTAGATATATGAAAACATCCCTTTGGCAAATACTGATATTTTGAAAATATAGCAACTATTCCTGCAGGTGGGGAAAATATTAATGAAGAAAGATGGTACATACAGAAGGTTTGCCTTCATATTAAAAAATTACAATCTTCTAAAAATTACCACTTATTATATAGAGGCAAAACATAACCCAATGTGATAGCTCTATTCAGGTTCCAGCCCTAGGCACATCAGGAGTAAACCCTGTTGGAGACTGTGAATATTATTTCCCAGTAGGATTTCATATTAAATTGTCCAGAAAAAAATTCTAACTTTACAGATGTAGAACTGACCAAAACATGTGCTTTGTATGTAGTCAAATCAATAGGACCTGAAACTGATGCTTTGTTATTCTACATATTCTTCAGTGGCTCCTGCTTTATGCTGCTAATTAACTCATCTTTACTTTTGAGACAGCTTTACTAAATATAATAATAATAATAATAATAATAATAATAATAATAATAATAATTTTATTTATAGTTCTCCCTCTCTGCCTGAGGGGACTCAGAGCAGTTTACATACAAAAAAAGTAAACATTCAATGCCATAATCAGCAAAACACACAAATCAAAACAATACAAAATAACATCAGTGAACTCATATCGAAGGGCAAATACTAATATTTAAATAAAACATAATTACACATAAAGACATATGTGTCCCGAAAAGTTACACAACTAAAAGTATAAAATGTGCCTAACACGGTAATAGTAATTTAAAATGTGCCGCAGCAACCCAGAAGTTGTGAGTAGATTTGCCAGCATTCCAATGAGATTGGCTCAAGATTTGCTAGTCCTCTTCCTCTCCTTACGCTAAAGTGCATAATTGCATTTTAGAAGTGTTTTAAAGGAGAGGAGGATGGGGGGGATTTTTATTTCTTTGAGAAGGGAGCTCCAGAGATGGGGAGCAATCATGGAGAAGGTTCCCTCTCTCGTTCCCACCAACCGTGCTTAAGATGGGGGTGGGACTAAGAGCAGGGCCTCCTCCACTGACTGAAATGCGCAAGGAGATCTATACAGGGAGATGAGATTTGTCAGATAATCCGGACTTGAAGCATTTAGGGCTTTAAAGGTAACAGCCAGCACTTTGTATTTAGCCTGGAAGCAGACTGGCAGCTAGTAGAGCTGCCATAACATTGCAATTTTAATCTGCATTTTGTACTCAAGACAAAGATGAAAAATAATCCACAAAACCTCTATCCTGCATTCTACTAACTGGGCGAAGACATACAGCCAAGAATTTCTACAGCTCATCCTATGAGTTTAAAATAATGAGATAAATTAAACTTTCAACCATAGTAGTCTGTACTGCATAATTTTATAAAGAAAACATGCAACTTGCTATCCTTCTCTAACCAACAAACAAGTCTCATTCTAAACTGTAATACAAATTTGGGGAAACGCACATAGTAATGTCATAAGCAATAGTTACAAAGTAGAGTTGCCAACTATGAAGAGAGGCAAAATCCTTAAAATGTTTGTTGTCGCTGTTTAATACCAACTGTAGCTCAACTTTCATAACACAGCCAGTTTCTCTCCTTGGTCCAGAATTATGTTCTCAAGCTGAAAACTCTCTTGTAAAAGGCATTAGACACTTGAGTGGAAAGTACAAAAGAGACCAATTTTTTTCCTCTGGCAGGCAATACTCTCTGGCATTGTCTGAAAACACTCTGATCTCTATTCTGCTCTTTGGAGACAATTTCTTTCCTCCTTTGTTGTAAAACACAGAAGTCCATCACACAACTTATCAATGTCAATCTCAGTGTGGAGGACTATGGCATGTTTCAACATCATATAATTTCTTCAGTGCAACATTTCAGTGTCTTGTAAGATTCCTCTCAATTTTGTGTTATCAGCTGGAGACTCATTGTCCAAAAAGGCTTGGTGCAATTATTTATTTTGTTCACTTCCGTGCACCAGGGCAGGTTTTTCCTCTGCACAGTTTGAGGATGCCTAGCCCTGGTGGTAAAAATGAGATTAGAACCCACCAATTCTTTCACAATTTTACATAATGGATCTTGATACCATTACCTTCCCATTACTGATGTCTGTGTGATAAGTTCCTTCCACTGCAGTTCCAATATGCTAGCAGTCATGACAGCATTTGGTATCATTCTCCCTCTCCCTTCCCCCTTGCTATTCCCATGCATGTCATTTCCCCTTTGTTCTTGTTTCTTTTCCTTTTAAAAATGGCATTGTTGTAATTGCAAATTTGCAGTAAAAATAAAAAAGCATTAAAAACCAAAATACATGTTGGTTGAGGCATTGGGCAAGACATCAGGGTTGTGGAGGTTGTGCAGAAGACAGACCAACCAGAAAAATATTTTCTCATTAACTGGACTTAAAAAAAAATCTAAATGTGCTATGAGAAACTGCTTATTGCTTAATTATGTCACCAGGACTGTTCCCTATGACACTGGCAGGGATTGTTTTTCACCCTCCAATTTTGATCCTGGAAATCTCAGGGAGAGCCTAGGATGCTCCTGACCTGGCAACCTTAGAAGACAGCATATAGCATATTCTTTAACCATGTTACAATAAACGGCCAAACAAAGACTTACCTGTGAATCAAAATTCTTCATTGGTTTCCACTGTTGGCCATTCATGAAATAAGGGACGGTTATTTCATACTGCTCAGGTTTGTTCTTTGGAATCCATTTACTCTCAGCATCCCCTCCTAGGGTAAAATGAAGAGATGCTTCATATTAGTTTTTAAAACCTGCAGTATATTGCTAAACAAAACAAGTTGAAAATACAATAAGCTTATGTTCAGTCATTGGAAAATTATTAAATGACATTGGAATCAAGTGAGCATTCATGCAATGTCTTTTCAGTTTCACTTTGTTTTGGATCAGCTTCCAAACCTGAATTGGAAATGACTGTATGAGCTGACACCTAGGTGCCACATTTGTGGTAGTCTTAGCAGAAGTGTTCACAAGCCTTGCTCAGTCAGATTTTGTGGATCATTTTCAATCATTGTTGTCTGAAGAAATGGACAGCAATGCCTAACATGACATCTAGACTCGATCCTTTCCTAACTTGGCTGATTTATATGGTTGCCAGGTGAAATAAAGAGCAGGACCCATTTCTCTCTCATTATTGTGAGAAAAAGAAATTTCAGCAGATGCTGCTTTTATTCTTTTATATTTCATCTACCAATTTATAAATCTAACCAAGAAGTGGTTAGATGGCCATCTGTCAGAGGTACTTTGTGCTTTTCCTGCAAGGCAGGGAGTTAAACTGGATGGACCATGTGGTCTCTTCCAACTCTATTATTCTATGATTCTACGATTGTAAGTGTGTTCATGTACTAGTGATTGCTTTATTTTAGGGAATTATACATAGAGTTGGTCCTCGATATCTGCTGGAGTTTGGTTCCACGACACACACCACTCTGATTGCAATATCCATGGAAGTCCAATTTTATACAATGGCCTAGTAAAATGATGTCCCTTATATAAAATGGTTGCCAACACAAACAAGTGCCAGAGAGAGCCTGATGATCTGTGAAATGATGGGAAGCTATAGGAGAGTGCCTACAAGTATCAGTGTACTGCTCGGTGTGTTGCTTTGTTAGACTTTTCCTCCACCAAATATTTTCACGCCATGATTGACTAAATCTATTGATGCAGAAGCTGTGGATATGGAGACGTATGTCTACTTCCTTGACAAAGCCCTCCTACTCCCAACTCAGAAGCATAAGAGAACTACCATCTTGTTGCTAGTACTGAAGGGAAAACAATAATCAATTTTCACTAGAAAATGTGAGCCCCCGGTTAAACCCTTGTGCCAGCAGGACTACTGACTGACAGGTTGGTGGTTCGAATCTGGGAGTGGGATGAACTCCCGTCTCAGCTCTAGCTTCCCATTCAGGGACGTGAGAGAAGCCTCCCACAGGATGGTAAAATATCAAACATTCGAGTGTACCCTGGGCAATGTCTCTCACACCAGAAGTGACTTGCAGTTTCTCAAGTCACTCATGACATGAAAAAAACCCTAGAAAATTGCTCTTGTAGAAGAGTCCGACTCCAAGACTTTCCTAATGCCAGTGATCCTGCTTTCTCTTCAAGTATGATGTTGTGTGTGTGTGAATACCATGCACACGTGTGGAAGCAATATGACTAGAATCTCCCTATGCAACAGGGAAGGCAATTTTCCAAGCTAGCCTTCTAAGAATACGCATACAAACATGTCAAGGACCCACTTGGAAGCCAGGCACTGCTGAAACAGACTTGAGCTGGAGCTGTGGGGTTTCCTTGTTAGTAGTGAGGGTATGGATTTTTTGTTGCCCTTCCTTCACTGCTGCTGTTCCCACAGCCTTTTAAAAACAAAAAACACGAAACACCTGTAGCTGGCACAGTTAATGTGTTAGTGATGGGGTTATACCAGTGTAATAAAACAACAGGATCTTAACTCCCACTGGCCTTCCAGTCAATGCTGAATGTGGTCAAATACGTTTTGACTTCATTGCAGGCTAGATTTAAAACAAACTTGGCTAGTCAGCAGAAAGAGTTCCAAGTTTAGTTCACTTTGAGATGATAAACCTTTGTTGGGGTTGTGGCACTTCAAATTACAAACAGGGCCCATGGGATTAAATGTCTCTGTATTTAAAACCATATGCTAGTGGTAGAAGTATTCGTGGCATATAGGTTTATGTGTCAATGGATTGCTTTTTGTAAAGCAAACAAGAAAATGGAACAGATGGCTGAATTATTTCAGCAGACATGCTATTAGAGCTATACAGGTTGACTATCTCTTATGCAGAATTCCAAAATCCCAAATACTCCAAAATTACCCACATTGGTTGCTGCGATAATGACACTTTTGCTTTTGCACACATACTTTGTTTCATGCACAAAATTATTTTTAAAATATTCAACGGAATTATCCCCAGACTGTGTTTATAAGATCTATATGAAACATGAATGAATTTCCTGTTTAGATTTGAGACCCATCTCCAAGATATCTCATTATGTTTATGTACACAAAAACAAATATTCCAAAATACTTCTGTTAACAAGCATGTCTGCTAAGAGATAGTCAACTTGTACTTCTTAAAATGTAGCTCAATGTGAATTGTTCTAATGTGCCTTCAAGTCATTTCTGATTTTTGTTGGTTTTCTTGGACAGATTTGTAAATTTAATAAAATAGTCATACAACAATGACATCAAAATGCACCAAAAACAACAAAATGTCACCATCTAGTTCTAGTTTGCTTTGTTTATTCGCTCTTACTCTGCACATGATCAATTACAGACCCATTTTGCACAGAGGTTTTAGCAATAAAAAGCCTGAGATCAGACTGTTATTTCTCTATTGAACAATTTCTTCCTCTCCAGTTGTGCTCCATTTAGCAAGCTAAAGATTTTGTTTTTTTTAAACATGAGAATTAATTCTCAATTATCTCAGTGGCTTCAAAAACCTTTTATCTATATCGCATGCAAGTCACAAAACATTGAGGATCCCTAGGTGTCCAAGATGCACATTAGCAAAAGAACAGCCTCAAAGAGAGAAGATGTAAGTCCTGGCTGAGCTAACACAGCATGCCTGACCAGTCCAGATTAGTTAGATTAATATTTAGGTCAGTGGAGTTTAACGGGACAAGCAAGTCTGGGCTTAACTTTTTACCACTGAAATAGACTAAAGGTATTCAAATTGGGCTGGACTTGCAGCCAAATTTAAACTCCGAATTTTAGATTATAGGTACCTAAATGTATAAATGCAAAATAATATACATTTATACAAACTGCAAAATCTTAAAACACTACAATTAAGCTTGTGTATATATATGTGTGTGTGTATACGCAGAAGGAAGTGCTTAAGGAATTCAGTGGAAAAAAGTCCTAAAGCAGTGGTTCCCAACCTTTTTTTGACCAGGGACCACGTGATCAGGGACCATTCTCCAACATTAATACCAAACGGGTTATGAATCAGTTTTTGGTCAACTTTAGATTTAGTTTGGTTATTTGGGGTGTTGATTCAGAAAATTGCATTGGCCAGACCACATCAGCTCTAGTTTCTGATACAGAATATATGCCATCCAGTAGTCACCAACTGCAAACCATATTTAATAAGCCTCGGCAGTATAAGAAGGTTACGCGAGAGCAGTCGTTCTTGTTGCAACAGTGTAGTATTGGTGAGGCCACGGAGCATGTTTTAGTTCTTGCGGACTACAGGTTGGGAACCACTGTACTAAAAATATCAGAAGTCAATGCTAAAGGAATCTTAACTCCATATGAGATTATGTTTGCTACTATAGAAAATATAGTAAAAGTCGGCTTTGCAGGTTGGAAACTACCATGTTTTTTGTTGTAATTTTTCTAAAATGAACCCAGCTGGTTAGAACATAAAATTCAAGACAGCTGGGTTAGTTCCTATCTGGAACTGGTTAGAGCTGTCTCAACAGCCATCCCATAGTCCCTATAAGTTTTCAATCTTTTAAAAATAGTGGTTTTATCTAATATCTGTAGCAGATTCAGATGGAATGTCCTCAGTGAATCAGGTCTTAGTCTCCATCAAATCTGTCCAAAACTCCACAATTCCACAAAATTATCCACATGGATTAGAAATAGTTTTGTCTTTGAAGTTATTGACAGTTTCCACACCACTACATTACAAAAAATATGTCACACATCTTTAACCTTTACTTTTCTAAGTACAACATAAAATCCATATGATGTTGTGTCGGCCATGAGGAATCAAGAAAGCATCATTTATTTTATATAGAAGAGTAAAGAAAGATAACCCACAAAATGCATGCTACAAATATTTAGCTTTGCTTCCTTAAAGTTAACCTTGGGTTTTCTTGAAAGAAATAACCAATTGTCCAGGTGACATCAAAAGTGAATTCTGATGGAAAGCTTCCCTAAGAAAGAAAGTGGAGTTTGTTGCTGTGAAATGAGAAATTTTGGGCTCTGCTGCAGGTTTCTTTATAGCTCACTAGAGCAGATACAACCACTTCATTTTCACTACAGCTACTTTACAAGATTCCTAAATGTTAGCCTGCTTGGAGAACCTCATAAACCTTTACCTTTTGAAAACAAAATGACAATCTCACTGTCATTTCTTACTGCTAAATGCATGCAACATTTATTATGACATCTGCAGTGCCATGCAGAAGGATTCACTCCCCTTTGACATTTCCATATTTTGTTGCATTAACACCTCAAGCTGAAATGGATTTAAAGGGCATGCTTACTATTTGATGTACACACAGTATTCAACAATATGAAGGTTCAAAATATATTTATTGTAGCATAAATGCTACGGAAACAAAACAACAAAACTGACAAGTTATTCATTGCTTAAGTATTCCTGCTCCTAGGCCAATATTTGGTAGAAGTACTTTGAAAGCAAGTGCATCTGTATTTCATTTGGGGTAAGCCTCTATCAGCATTGAGGTGCATGTACATTTTGGAATAAATGCTGTTTGACACCACTTTAACTGAATGATTCAATGCAATGGAATCCTAGGATTTGTAAATTGGTGAGCCACCAGGGCTCTTTGACACAAAAGGCTAAGGAGCTTATAAAATTGTTTTCTATCTATTTTTTAACAACTGCTTCACTGAGGGTCTGTGTTTCACCTTCCCAGGACACTTGTGCCCCACTTTTTGCTGGTCAGTGACAGTAATAAAGCTTTTATTATTATTATTGTACACGTCTCAGGATTTAAA